ATAGCATTGATGTACTTCAAGGAAAAAAATATCTGGGAAATTTATGAGCCCAATCAACTGAGAAGGAACTTGAAGATACTCAGTTTATTGTTATAGTAATCTTACTTTTCTGTCAAGCTAACTATTGTAAAAGGGTGTTTATACTCTTAGTGGCTATTTCTACAAAGAAAACCCAAACAAGATAATCGTGCTGCAGCAGTTTATAACTTCAAGTTGAAAATACATGTGTAGTGACTTTAGTTGTTGGGTGATTTTCACGTGTTCTCTCTTGGTTTGATAAATGTGTTTCTTTAATCAAGGTAAGTACAGAATCTCAACATAAACTTTAATGCCTTGTTTTGTTTCTAGTTGTATAGAATTCAGAACATACTAAGAATAAAGTAGGTAAAATAGGTATGAAAGCATCACTTCATCTTAAGAATACTGCTATTTGCTTTCAATTTGTTGATATCTGAAAACAGCAGTCTTGAATACATATGATGAGTGTATTTAAATTTTTCAGAACAACATAATTGAGTATTTGCTGACATTTAATTCTGCCAAGTTTTCACTATTAGGCAAAATCATTTTCAATATTATTTTCTACACTAATATGCCTACTGGTTGGTTTGGTTTTTTGTTTTCCTTTTTTAATGTTAATCAAGTTGAGTGCTTTCAAATCTCTCAGTTAGTAGTGGAGCATATGCGTCTTTGTTGTGTAAAATATTAGAGAGTTTCCATATCTGGTTTAATTGGTGTGAAGGAGAAACTGCAGCTACTTCCTTTTTCTAAAAAGTGTGCAATTTTGGAGGGACATGAGGGAAGGGGAGAGGAAGTTGGGCTTTCTACAGGGATGGGAAGAGGTCAGGAAACTTCATGTGAAAGATCAGTAGTAAGCCATATTAAGAAACTGAAAAAATGTAAGCACACTTTCTTCTGCAGCATGCCAGACAATTTCCAGCATGTTCCATTTTCTTTGCTTAGAATTTTGCCTGATAAGGTAGAGCCTGTAGGTTATGATGGTGTACCTACCAGGAAACAACTAAGATGCATTTCATGTTGCCAGCCTGAAATTCTCCATTCTAACCATGTGAACTTAACTGTAACGTCCCTCTGTGGTGACTTTTTAGAGCCTAAAATACTCTGGAGGTTCATCTGTTCGGGGGAAGTAGCCCTTTAACCTCATGTAGAGTGTTGAAGAAGGGATGTAATGAGATCATCTTCTCTCCATTGAATAAACAAAATTGGTTTACTTTCTGAAACACTAGAAACACTACCTCTGTAACAAAAATGGTGTAAAAAGTTAATTTATACTTGGTCAAATCTTGGATTTTTTTTTTATTTTAATTATATCTATCAAGTTCTGCATATGAACCAGCTAAAGAGGAAGTTCTTTGGAAATACTTGACATTAAGATGGGTGTATGACACTAAACCAGACTGAATCACGAGACCTATTTTAACTACAAACGTCTCCATTCTGGGTTTATTGGAAACGCAGATAGGTATCTCTTCCTCACTAAATGAAACTTCTTGAACATTTGTTAAAACTGAGCACTGAATTTAAAGTTTCTCATACTTCCATCTAATAGCTTTATAATTGGAGTAGTAAATCAAGGGAGAGAGGGAGCGGCACTGAAATCCTAACAGCTCTGGCAGTAACGAGGTGGGTTGCCAGTGCACACTTGCTGCTCTTCACAGCTGAGTCTGTCCTTCCATCTGCTTGGGAAGAACTGCAGTCTCACATGATTGCTCTGAACAATTACCGGTCCACAGTAATTTTCTCAGCTACTGTATGTAGAAAATATGCTTCTCTTCTGCTAGTCCCGCACGATTTTGTCTGGTTCCTTCACGAGGTGATTTTGGTTTACATTTTACTGTGAACTTTGTATTGTCAGACTTCTTGAGTTCCTACTTTGCGAGCGCTGAAGTCCATGTGTTTGGGTTATGCAATGAGTTGCTGTCTAAGGCAGGACAAGGAGGGGCTGAGACACTTACCTCCAGCAAGGAGGGAGAAGACAGCCCACTGCAGCTGGTGCATTGGCTATAGACCAGGCACACTACTCCAGTGAGGTCAGTAAAGCTAGGAAGGCAGGTAGGAGCCATGTGTATGAGTCTCACGTGCTGTACTGACATTCTCCATTTCAGCAGTGTTCATAAACTTTCAGCCTTACAAAGCCTTTTAAATTAATGCTCTGCATTAACTTATTTAAATTTAGATTATTAAATGTTCTGGAATGACTTCTTGCCTACAACTACCTGAAAGGAGGTTGTAATGAGGTGGGTGTTGGTCTCTTTTCCCATATAGGAAGTCAGGGAGGTTTAGATTGGATATTAGGAAAATTTTCTTCTCTGAAAGGACTGTGAGGCATTGGAAGGGGCTGCCCAGGGAGGTGTTTGAGTCACCATCCCGGGAGTTACTTAAAAGACGTGTGGATGTGGTGCTTAGGGACATGGTTTAGTGGTGGTCTTGGCAGTGTTAGGTTAACGGTTGGACTCAATGGTCTTAAGGGTCTTTTTCAACCTAAATGATTCTATGACTAGCTGTGTCTACTTAGAAAATACAAGAATGCTTTGACTGATGCAGGTACTAGTTGGTGCTTACCGTACACTCTCCCTTCTGAGACAAACAAGTCCCACAGCACTGACACTAAAGACATGCTGCCGCTATCTCGCCTGCTGTATTTTCTATCTCGAGTCGATAAGAGGATGATGCTGTGTGTGGTTAATGTGTTCAGACACGTGTCAAGATTTGTCATACATTCAAGGAGATGTAGATTTTCCTGTCATCACTTGCTTTGTTTTGTTCTTGTGACTTTTTGAACCCATTCAGGATTTAGGGTGCCCTGAAAATATTAGACCTTAACCAAGGACTCTGCATTATAGCAGTGGGCAGAGCTCAATAGCTGGGAGGAACATTGGGAAGAAGTGAGGGAGTACTGGTGTGAAGTTGGACAAAGTATTTTGAATGGGAGCACTTCCCCTGCCTGGTTACACCTGTGCAACCAGGAATGCAAAATGCCTGGGACTGAAGGGGGGTCCTGGCTCCATAGCCTAATGATACACAGTGCGAGGAAGGAAGATAATTTGTAGGTTCTGGTGCTGCTTGTGCATTTTGCATCTAAGAAATCATCAGATTAAATGTGTACATAAGATTTGCAGCCTGGTTCAGTAATCCTTGCTCCCAAAAAAGTGACCTTCCTGGTAGCCCTACAATCTAGTTTTCTTGAGTAACTCTCTTGGGACCAGGTGGTTAGCTTCTGAGGGGGCTTCTGCATAGGTAGATACTTAAAATACTACATACCAAAAGTAGATGAATTGTACGAGTGATCTGAATTTTCCTCCAGTTACTTATTCGTTGGCGGTTATAGTTCTATCTTAGTTTAAGGTTGATGTGTGCAAGTTTTGGTCGTGGGCTTACGTTCATGTGGAACAGTTTCAGTGGAGCCGAGGGGCAAATTTCTGAGGTCATGAAGAAGCTTTTGTTCCAGTGCCCTGTCATTCCTGTCAGGACCTTTCTTTGAATACAGAAAATTTTTGTTAAAGGCAGCCTTCACTATGATGGCAGAGATGACAGACTTCCTCTTATGCCATCCCATTTACCTTTTTCCTCGCTGCACAAAAAGATTAAAGGGGCCAAGGGTAGTTTAAACCTGTTCTTTCTCATTTTAGAATGGTATCCTGTGTTTAGGGTTACCTCCAACCTTGAAGGCACTCGTGAAATTAAAGTAAAATAAAGTGAATATCAGTGTTTCCCAAAGCAGAATGTATTTTTGCTAAATGTCTCATATTTCGCTGGATAATTAACAGTAACCTTGTAAATAATCTGAAAAATATCCCCCTCCCCAAGAGTGTTGCATTTTCCCATACGAACCCCTTTTGCACATGCAGCAATGTGTTTGGTATGTTTATACAAATGTCAGTGAAATAAAATAAATAACACCAAATAAATAGCCCAGTTGTGGAGTTTCTGTATCAATTCTAGCATAATTGCGTTGTTTGGGTATGTTTATGGATTTTTTTTTTTGTGTGGTTGTTAATATCTCTTCCTGTTCATTTCACTTCGTTGTCATAGCATAATTCTTGTGGCGTAACAGATGATAAATAGTCACGAATACTCAAATGTGGCATAAAGCAGAATGCAGACTCAGAGTTGGCACAAGAGCTTTGGCTCTTGGGCCACTTTGGGCTCAAGTGCTGGAGCCTCATAATGGGATTTAAACTGATGGTAGGGTGATGACTGTAGATTATTTATGGAGCATATGGACTTCTGTTGCTCCTTCTGTGTCTGAAATGAAATCAAGCCCCAAGGCAATCACGAGTGTGAATGCAGGGCATGGGTATTTTTCTTATAGGTGGGATAAGGGCATCACAAAAACTGGCTTTTTTAATATCAGAGTTTTTAATGAACTGGGTTTTGAACCTGTTTGTTTGTTGTTGTTGTATTCTCCTAGAATGTAGATGGAATCCTTTTGGAATAAATCTTTGCATACTCTTAGGTGTAACTTCCAATAAGCTGGTTTGCATTTGTTTTTACTAGGAGAGACTTGAGTGGTGGGAGCAGAAGCCTTAAGGGGGTTGGTTTTTTAAGGAGCGTTTACAGTGCTTCAGCATCCTCAAGGGCAGCCTTAATCTTCTCAGGTCAGCACGCAGCATACCCTGACCAGGTCCTTTACTAGAAGTGTAAATTTTGTTTGAATTTTCACCTTTTTGAGAAATGGTCACTTAGTTTGTGCTCAAATTCTGAAACAAAAAAAAAAACCAACCCACACCCCAAGCAGCTTTCTGAGTCACAGGCAATGTGGTACACAGATTTGAAAAAGGAATAGTGTGTAGATGTGGGGAAGTTGGAGGTAAAGAAATCCCCTGTTCTTTCTCTGCTTCTTGACTGAGAACTCTGGGCAAATGCAATAAAAAGTGTATTTAAAAAAACTGCTATCTGCAGCTAACTACAAAGTAAATTTGTTGGTTTTAAGTTTTTTTGGCTTTCTTTTGTTTTTAACATTGCATTTTTGGTTTTAGGTTTCTGGGATTTGCTACAATAGCAGTACATTAAAAGTTCATCGAATTCTTTGTGTACCCAGCTGGGTAGCAAGGATATTTTCTTGGACTCTTGAACCAATCTTCTCATCTGCGGAACCAACGAATGAAGTTCGAGTGGGAATGGGAGCAACAGTTGACATCCAGAGGCAGCAGAGAATGGAGTTACTGGATCGTCAGATCATGATGTCTCAGGTTGCCCAAATGAGGCGGCAAAGGCAGCAGCAGGTATTGATATGTATTCTGTAAAGGATTATATTAAGTTCTGGGAGGAATACATTTTTTGCTTCATATATCTCTTGTGGTTTCTGTTTCTTAAAAATATGTATTTCTTTATTCTTCTCAATGGGTCTTTCATACACTCTTGTACTGCTGAGAGCCATGTAGGTGTTTATATGCTGTGTATGTTAAAACTGCTTCACAAGGTACAAGCAGAATGCCAGACAATCCTGTAAGGATATCTTACGGCATCCTTTCTCCAAAAGGGAGGCTGAAAGGTAAAGCACTTGCCTCTCGGTGGTGTTTAGTGAGAGCCACTGTTGAAAGTTAGGGAGTCAAAATGCTCCTGACTCTTCTGAGCATTTGTGTTTTTACAGTCCTTTCCAGAGAGGTTGAAAACTGTCTTACGTAACTTCTGTGTTTGCAGATGTACTTTGAGTAAGGGTTGTTTCTTTTAAGAAAGTGAAGAAAATAAATTCTCTAACTTTCCTACAGAGGCCAACCACAGGGATTTTCTGTTTGCTGCGTTTAATGCTCTTGGCTTTATTTCCTGATTGGATAGAATAGCAGAGCCTGTCTATTTTCTCTGTCTTAGTCAGACCGCCAAATGCAGATGTTGACATACTTAGCGTTGCGGGGCAGTCAGACAAGGCTACTCTTTCCTCTGTCTTAAGGGTATGCATTACTACTCCATCAAACCTAGCAGGAAGAATAGGCATGGGATTGCTTTATGTGAACATATATTGCTCATAATTTAGTTTCAGCCTAGCAATTTGAGGTCTTTGCTGAGTTTCCCTTGTCTGAAACACAGCTCAGTGCTCATACACAAGTTCTTGTGCTCAGGGTAGGGAGTGCAAGTAGGTACTAATCCTTACCAGTAGTATGTTGCCAGAATTAGAGGTGTGATGGCATAAAGCTTTGTCCAACAACTGGAGTATGGATCTTTGTTTCCAGTCCTTGATAACAATGCTGTTTTCTTTGATTTCTTAACATTTTGATGTAATGAAATTGTTCCACGGGTGGAAGGTCCTAATCTCCTTTTCTCTATTCCCATTAGAACGTTAATCAGTTTTAACGTAAGAACTGAACAAGAAATTACTCAATTCTCGACTGTTGCCATTGTAATAGCAAATGAATTGAAAGTCTCTGGTGGGCTACAAGCGGCTGTGAAGAGTGCAGCCAAGTTTCTTCAGACAGGAGGAAGAAACCGTTACCCCTTATGAAGAAAAATCTTCAAAATATAATTCTAATTGCAAAAAGTGGTAAATAAGTTCAGCATGGTAAACGATAACGGAAGAGCTGATAACATTTTCTTCTCATCTTTTCCTTTCCTTAGGCTATGAACAATGAAAGTGGAAAAAACTCTTTTCATGTTTGACTTCAAACAGAGTTCTTTTAAAAAGGTGGAGAGGTTTGAGTGAAACAAGTGAACATTGAACAGCATTGAGATGCTTCCCTTTACAAGTTTCTAAAACCCTTTCAAGTTACATTCATGTTTGCCCTTTAACTTGAGTGCAGGGTTTAGTTAGCTGATAGTGCTGATCTGTAAAACCAATGATCAGGAGGTGATGGGATCAATGTATGAATGTTTCGGAGAGGCTCTTCAGACAAGATGTGTAATTATAGCTTTTAACCAGTCTTTTTTTTTTTTTAATGACTCACTCACAGAATTTACTGGCCATCGCCTAAATGATGAAAAGAAAGCATCATTAGTGGTAAAAATGAAAAGCAGACAAATTTCAGTCTCAAGTATTTTAAAAATTGGAAACAGTTTTCCATGTTGTTGTACTTTGGCAATTATTTTGCCTGTAGAGGCTTCGAAAGGTGTAAGTTAAAGACAGTGGAGTTGAACAGATCACGTGACAGATGGAGTTTAGATTATGATTTTACTACGTTTTTGAGAGTGAAGCTGCTAAAGAATACAGATCAGGTTCTTAGGGAGGGCTCTTTTGTGAAACTGAAAAGAATGAAAGCTGTGAGGTATATGTCGGTCATCAAATATGGCTTTGAATTATGTTCTAGGAGAATATTTTGCAGATTTGGGGAGTCCCAGTATGCTGTCCATAGGTAATGTGCCACAGCTGAGACAAATTAACATTTTCTCTCCTGCTTTCCATTTTCTTTGGCGAGGGAACTGGACTTTAACTTTTCCTCTGTATGCCATAGTGCAACCAATTTGTTTAGTTGCCCCTTGAGAAGGTGCTCTGCTCATTCCTCCTTTACTCTTCAGTTCATCATTTGAGAAAAGAGACAGTGCAGTTTCCCTGCATATCGGTAGCATATGGAAGGAGATCACAGGAATGTGAATGGGTGGTTTTAACAGTGTTCCGATACCCATGCAGTGTGGCAAAGCTCTGTTCTGGGCATAAGGAGGCCCCTTTCTTAAATAGGCGTTCTTTGTAGTAAGCTTATTCCTCACGTCTTTGAAAGAAATCCTGAACACTATGAGCCTGACAAGTTAGGCAAGCAGACACAAAAAGAGTAAAAAATTAAAAAATATTTTATTAAAAAAAAATAACACAGGGAAAGCAACTGGAGAAAAAACATTTGTTGTTGTTTTTACTGTACCCCCAAGATACTGGATTTTTTTTTTTTTCTGCTGTCCACTAAGCTCTTTTATCCAAAGCAGAATTGACTTTGGATGTTTTTTACACCAAAAAACCCCAAAACAGCCACTCCAGAATTACTTTGCTAGCAACTCTTTGAGCTTTACCTTTCCCAGTCTTTCTCTAACCAAAGTGTTCTGGCCTGGAGAAACCTGAAGTACGGAGCTGTGCGTGTCACCGCTGGGTTGTCAGGCACCCACAACTTGAAGGAGTAGGTGGAGTACATGGTAGAATTTGAACATAAACCGCCAACTTCATGACTTGATGTACCTCGTTTTGCCCTCAAACGTGCAGTGGTACCATGTCTGAATATGTTGTTAGAAACTGAAAAAATCACCTTACGTTGCTAGTTTCTTAGGGGAGTGTGGTTACGTGGTGACTGATTTTTCTTGTCTCTGTCTCTAGTTGCTGTGGATACGGCCCTTAAACAGATGGTAGTGCAATATTGAAAACTCTCTGTTCTTCTTTTTCCTCAACGGATGATCCTGAGAAATGATGAACTTGTCACAGATGGACAATTACTGAGCATCACCTCCGTCAGTCTTTTGAGGCAGTAGAATAAAATGTGTGCCATATGTATTCATTCCCTCAAAAAATACCAGCTTGTTAGTTCTTTTCTTTCCCTCTCTTTTGTCTATTCTCATTTCTAATTTAAATAATTGATGCTATTTTTCTTTTCTTCCCATTAATCTGATCTATTTTCCCCCTTCATACCACTTTCATGTTTTCATTCCCCACTATGCCATTTTCCTCCCACATTTTCATCATCTCTTCCCCTTTGTCTCCGTTGTTTCCCATACTTTGTGTTTGCTCCTGTACAAAATCCTACTTCACTTTGGGGGCAGTTCTCTCCCATCATGTGTCACCGCCAGTAATCATTTGCTGATGGATGCATCACAAAGCTCATAAGATTTTAGAAATAGATGCCTCTGGCCTTTCGTTCAGAACAGATGTAGCTGAGGTTTTGGGGCACTGGTTTATCCTTTCAACACTGTAAATTGATGAACATTTTGGTCTTCCTCTCCTGACTTTTCTAGTTTTTGATCTCTTTTCTTTCCCAGAGTTTTTGTAAAGTTTATCTTCCTGTAACCCAAATGAAAGCTCCGGTGGGAGAAGGGGAGCAACTGCTGCATCTGTCCCCCAGTGTGGTAGCAGGGAGTCGACTTGCACTTCCTGTTGAGAAGCTTGGAGGGAGGCTGGCAGATAACCCAATTACAAATGGGTAAGGGAAGGGTCTGTGCCTAGGTATCATTGACACACTGTTGTCAAGGAAGACAGATCTGTGGAAGGTGTTGGAAAGTTGCAGAAAAGGTGGTCAGCGCCTTCTGTTGGCAACTAAATGCTACTTCTGCTTTGAGAGCTCCTCCCTGTGCCCATTGTACGACTGAAGCCCTTCGTCTTTAAAAACTGTTTTGTGTATCCACAGGGCATTTATTCCTTCGTTCTTGTCGAGCGTGCTAAAGACTCTGTATTGCCTGCTTCTTGGTTTCTCTGAAGTTTCTTGGCTCAGAAAAGAGCTTCACCATGTTGCTCCAGAGTGTGATAAGCCTACAGCGGTATATGAAGATCTTCACTTTCTTACCTCTTTTCTGCCCCATCCTCCACCTTAAGCTTATTTTGCCTGTTCCCTCCTGTCTTTTGTTCTTCTGTTCCAACTGCCATTACTTTTCAGTGAGGCCAAACTCTCCTTTGATCCACATCACACAGCATCTCTGCATGAGATTCTTCGGCCTGCGAAGACCAGATTTCTTCTGTAACCATGTGACTTCCTCTAATTGTTCATTCATTAGATGTCTTTCTCTTGGGACACTGAAGAGATGCTCTGTGGATAGGCACACTGAGTGTCTTTATTGTTATGGGGGGTCTCATATCCTGAGAAATGTGCAAGTTTCACGTTTGGTTGCCTAAGGACTGTGACGCTAGATTGGAGATTTACCTTCTGGTTATATCTAAGTGGTAAACTCCTGACCTTGGAAAAAAATAGATTAATGGGGTGAAGACCTTCCTGGCATAAGAATTCCTTCTCGGGAATGTTATCCTCATTCATGATGGTAGAAAAAAAATCCCTCAGTGAATATACTCCCAGACATCCTATTCCTGCCTTCCCAATGAAGTGTAAGAACCAGACCTGAGCATATTCTTTAGCTCCCCCACCAGCTGCTTTGGCAGAGTCTTCTTGAATAACTTCAGAAATTTGAGTATCAACAACAAGTCCTTCAAACAGACATTTTGAACCCTGAAGACCTTCTGCAACCTTTGTAAGTCTCCAGCTCCATATAAACTCTTGCTCTCACAGCCAGGACTTTGGATGGGAGTAGCTTGTTTGTATATGCGTACATCCAGAGATGTACATACTGTGGTCAGGAAGGAACATACCAGACTTCTTTACCTGAATAAACAGGT